CCAGCCTGGGCAGGCTCGCAGCCGGGGCCCTGCCTCCAGCCCCGCCTCCAGTCGCCGCTCCGTTGGGGCCGAGGGCCTCACCGCTCAGCCGTGCTTAGCAGTGAGCAGTCTTGTGACCCCTCCCAGGCCTGCTGGCCCTGGAAGCAGCTGGGTCACTCCTTGTCCCTCCTTGTCCCCTCTAGCTTTGGGGTCCACGATGCTCCAATCTCTGTGGAGCCCCCCAGCTTCTCCTCTTCCCACCCGAGCCCCCTGCATGGCAGGCCTCTGAGGCCTCCTCCCAGCTGTTGGGAGGTGGGTGATGGGCTGACCACTAGGCCATTTGCCCTGGACTGTTTCTGTGTTAAAACTGAAGTCCTGCCCGGCCGGCCTGGCTCAGTGACTGAGCATCGACCTATGAGCCAGGAGGTCACGGTTCGATTTCTAGTCGGAGCACATGCCCGAGTTTCGGGCTGGACCCCCAGTTCGGGGCGTGCAGGAGGCAGCCAATCAATGATTCTCTCTCATCACTGATATTTGTAGCTCTCTCTTCCTCTTTGAAATCAATAAAAATATATCTAAAAAAACAAAACACTGCCCTGGCCAGTTTGGCTCAGTGGATAGAGCGTTGGCCTGAGGACCGAAGGGTCCCGGGCTCAATTCCAGTCAAGGGCACGTACCTCGGTTGCAGGCTCCTCCCTGGCCTGGCCCTGGTCAGGGCGCTTGCAGGAGACAACCAATCGATGTGTTTCTCTCACATTGACATTTCTGTCTGTCTGTCTTTCCCTCTCTCTCCCATTGTCTCTAAAAATCAATGGAAAAATACCCTCGGGTGCGGATTGAAAACAAAACAAAGCCCTGAGCTCCTGCACGCAGGCCCCTGACTGTGGTGTGGGTGTGAGGGGCTCACCCTGGAGCTGCGTGATGGTCTTCAGCTCCTGGATCTGCTCCTCCACGTCCCCCCCGTCGCTCCACATCTTCATCGTGGCCGCAGGCCCCCGCGTCCACCCTCCCTGTGCTGGGCCTGCTCAGCAGGACAACAGTTCAAATTGTCCCCGGAACCTCGGCCCATTGTGATGGGCGCCAAGGTTCTGAAAGCCCCGGGGCCAAGGTTCTGAAAGCCCCGGGGCCAGCACCACCCTCTGCCGCCAGCCGGCCTGAGGGTGAGCCTCCTGGCTGCTCTCTGTTTGGGAGCATGGCCAGGCCAGGCACCTTCTCCCACAGGTGGGTGACTTGGTGGTGGTTTGGCAGGACCCCCCTCCCGTCCCCTTCACTGTCTTCCCAACCCTGACCACTCACCCCCCAAGTTCACACTCCACACCCCGGTGACCATGAGACCCCCAGCCTCGGCCCTTGCTGCCTCCACTTCCCCCAGGAATTCCCAAGGCCAGCTTTATTTATTTATACATTAAAACCTATTTTATTTTTGTTTGCTAATCCTCACCTGAGGATATTTTCCCATTGACTTTTAGAGACAGTGGAAGGGAGGAGGAGAGAAACATCGATTGGTTGCCTCCCATACAGGCCCGAGCAGGGCTGGGCGGGGATCCAGCCTGTGACCGAGGAACATTTCCTTGACAGGAATTGAACCCGGGTCCCTTCAGTCTGCGGGCCGATGCTTTATCCACTGAGCCACACTGGCTAGGGCCCGAGTCAAGCCTTAGATGTCACTCCGGGAAGGGTCAGTCCCCCTTCTCTGCACCCCCAGCCCCAGCTTCCCCAGAGCCGCGTGCCCCAAGCACTGGACAGCTGGGACCCCAGGAGGGGCGGCACCCACCGAATTTGTTACTTTTCCCAGCTACCCTGTGTGACTCCGCTAGGACCGCCCTAACAAAACACCACGGACATTCATTGTCTCAGGTCCTGGGGGCTGGATGTCTGAGACCCAGGTGTGGGCAGGGCTGGCTCCCCAAGGTCCTGCAGTGGCTGCCCCCCCTGCACCCCCACACGGCCTCTTCTCTGTGCCCATCTGTGTCCACATCTCCTCCTCTTATAAGGGACCTGTCAGGTGGGATCAGGGCCCACCTCATTTTATTTTATTATTTATTCACTAGAGGCCTGGTGCACGGAATTTGTGCACTGGGTGGGTGGGGGGTCCCTCAGCCTGGCCTGCACCCTCTCGCAGTCTGGGACCCCCTTGCAGTCCGGGATCCCTCTCATGGTCCAGGACCCCTTGCTCCTTACTGCCCGCCTGCTTGCTGCTCCTTACCACACGTTGCTCCTTAGCGCTGCCACCTGGGAGGCAGGAGAGGCTCCCGCTACCACCACTGCCCTCGCCAGCTGTGAGCCTGGCTTCTGGCTGAGTGGCGTTCCTCCTGTGGGAGCTCACTGACCATCAGGGGACAGCTCCTGTATTGAGCATCTGCCCCCAGGTGGTCAGTGCTCATCATAGCGACTGGTTGTTCCACTGTTTGGTTGGTTTGCATATTAGGGTTTTATTATATAGGATTTTTAATCGTCACCCGAGGATATTTTTCCATTGACTTTTAGGAAGAGTGGAAGAGAGAGGGAAAGACAGAGAGAAATATCGATGTGAGAGAAACACATTGATTGGTTGTCTCTTGCACGTGCCCTTGACCAGGGCCTGGGACGGGGAAGAGCCTGCAACCGAGGTATGTACCCTTAACTGGATTCGCACCCGGGACCCTTCGGTCCACAGGGTGACGCTCTATCCACTGAGCCAAACCAGCTAGGGCCGGCTCACCCTCATTTTAACTTCCTCCGCTTCTCAGAGGTCCAATCTACAAATGCATTGTGTTCTGAGGTCCTGGGGTTAGGGCTGCAATGTGTGAATTTGGGGGGACACGGTTCAGCCCTAACAATGGTCTCCGCCCATCTTCCTCCAGGACCTCTTACCTTTCTGGCCACTCTCAGTTTTAAAAAAGTGCATCCAGTCAGGTCTAAACCCCCCTACCCTCTGCCCTCCCTCTCAGCCAGGTGGTACCCTTGGGGAGACAGAAGGCTCCCAACCAGAGTCTGAGGCAGAGCCTGGCTACTGTCCCCCAATATTGGTTCTCCCTTCTCACTCAGATATAGAATTGTAGTGGGGGCGCACGGCTGCCCAGAGCAAGGCTGCCCTCCTGGGTGCCTTTGCACAATGCTCAGGACTTAGTCCTGCCAGTGCAGTGCGAGCGGAACGGTGAGTGAACTGCTCTCTTCCTTCCTGTTGACTGGGACGAAGCCGCGATGGCCGGAGCTGGCACAGCTGCCTGGGGCCATGAGGCGGATTTGGAAGAGAGGCCGTTGCAGCAGGGAACGGACTAAAAGGGGCCCTGGCCCCTGACCGTCAGCTCCCGGCCACCCACTTGGACTTTTACGGGAAGGAGACTCTAGGTGACTTCTGCCATGGTTACCTTGGGCTTCCTTCACTACCTGTCCATCAAGAGTTCTGGCGCATAGTAGGTGCTCAGTAGATATTCTTTTGAATGACCGGCCAGGCGGAGAGGCACAGGGGCTGACCTGGCGGGAGCGGTGTGGCCCTTGCTGTGAGCCTTCAGCGAGACTGGGGAGCCAACCGCAAAGGACCATGAACTTGCCCGGAGTTGATAGAATCTCTGCCTCTTCCTGTTGGGGCGGGGAGGTGGCTAGTCTTGCCCACTTGTGAGCTTCCCTTCTGTGGGGACAGAGCTCCGGGAAGCTAGCTCGGCCTCCCTCCGCCCCCGGAGAGCGGTGACTTCATCTGACACGTGTGTTTGGGACGCCGGGCGGGTGGGCACAGCCTGGTCCTGCCCCTCGTCCCTCGGGACCAGGTGCTGTTGGCTGTCCACCTGGTGGTCTGCTCCTCCGTGCCAGGTTGTATGGAAACAGACCCGCCCCCCCCCAATAGAGAGGCCTCACTGCCTCACAGGGCCGGTGGGAGGAACGGCCTGGCAGAGCCTCCAGTAGCAGCCGCGTGGGCACGAAGGTGACACTTTTCTCCCAGCTTCTTCCTGCTCTCGCTCCCCAGTCGCTGTAGAACTCGGCAGGAAGAGCAAGGCCTTTATTAGTCCCACAGCCCAGCAGCACCTGTCCCCCTGGCCCTGGGGGATGCGGGCCCAGAAAGGGAGTGTCCGTGCCCCGAGTGCAGAGTCCTCTCACCACGCGCCCCCAGGGTGCGGGCAGGGCCTCCGGAGCGGGGAGGGCCAGCCTGAGGTGCGAGGTGCTGGGCGCTGTGTTCTAGAACTCTCTGGGCCCGGGTCGTGTGCGCCTGGCTGGAGCTCTCCTAGGTGCGCGGATCTGTAAGAGGCAAACAGAGACAGGTGCACACCGAAAGTTGCTCACGGTCCCTGCACCCATTTTACTGTGGCAAAGACGGAGGCGAGGCCTCGAACCAGGATGCAGGAGGGGAGGTGGAGGCCAGGACTGAGGCCCATCCGCTGCTGTCTGATGCCCAGCCCCTCAATCCAGCCGTTTTCATGGGGTGTCCACAGGCCTGTCTCTGCGCTCCCCCCACCCAGCCCCTCCTGGGTCCTCCTCCTGCTCACGGGGCTGGAAGTCCCACCTGCTGCACTCACTCCTTCTCCGGGAAGTGCACGCTGGGGGCACGGCAGGAGGCGAGAGACCCCGTCCAGCCTCCACTCCAGCCCCAGGCTTGCCTGCCTAAACCTCGGGGCACCAGGGGTAAGGCTTCCGCCCCCAACTCCCCGGCCTCTCACCTGTGCCCATGTCTGTGGGGAGCTTCCCCGTCTCCAGGAAAAGCCAGAGGTCGCTGCACTTCTGGGTCTCCACGCGGGTCACCCAGTAGCTGGCCACGGAGCCTGCAACTGGGGGGCAGAACGGGCGGGGGGCTGGGGGTGGGCCTCTGCACTTCTCAGAGACGGGAACGTGGGCACAGGATCCTCTGGGCAGATGGTGGTGGTGGGCGTGGCCAGGGCTCCCGGGGGAACTGGGGCCCCATCCCCGGAAGCAGGGATGCCTGGAACACAGCCCCCCGGGGCTCTTAGGGGGACCCACTCCTCTGAAGAGCCAGAGTCGCCCCCGGCAACCTGGGGGCCCAGGCAGGGAATACCCACCCACGGCCACCAGGACGGTCCACTGGAAGGGGTACTTCAGCCTCCTCTGCACGGACATCTGCAGGCCCAAGGCCGCCCCGGTGCCTGCAAGAGACAGGCCTGTGGGCAGGCTGGCCAGGCGCCCAGCACCTGCGGGCGCTCCCTGCTGGGGAGGCAGATGGGGACAGGAGGGCGCGGCTGTGCACGCTGAGCACCCGGCCCAGCCTACCTGTGACGAAGGTGACGATGCCCTTCACGAAGGCGCGCGACTGGCAGGCGGCGTACTCGCCCAGCCCCTGCGGGGGAGGGGAGGGGTCACGCTCAGGTCCCCCCCTCTTCCTCCGCGGTCCCCCGCCCCTCCTTTCGGCACTCGCCGTGAGGCCCTGCGCTGGGACGCATCCCACCGCCCATGCCCAGCAGGATGCCCACCAGGGTGCCCACCAGGGTGCCCCACCCCATAGCAGAGGGTCCTGACTCTCTGCCCCTTGGCCCCGCCCCGCTCAGGTCAGCTCCGAGTCGGGAGCCCGCGTCCTAGGCCGGCCTTCTCACCGGGTGCTTGGCGGCTACGGCGTCGTCCACCCGG